GGAGGGAGGGAGGGAGGGAGGAAGGAAGGAAGGAAGGAAGGAAGGAAGGAAGGAAGGAAGGAAGGAAGGAAGGAAGGAAGGAAGGAAGGAAGGGGGGACACTTTGGATCAGACACAGTAGTACAGTCTGTAGTACTGGCTACTCGGGAGGCTGAAAAAGAAAGATATTGAACCCAACGATCCAAAGTCAGCATGGCCAGCAAAGGAGACCCTGTCTCTAAAACAAAACAGAGTGGCACATGCCTATAATCAAAGCACACAGGAGCATGAAGCAGGGGATCAGAATTTGAGATCAGACTACATGAAACCATATATATATGGTTATATATATGGAGTTAGGAGTTAGGAGACTTGCTGCTATTTCAGTGGACTGGAGTTTGGTTCCTAGTACATGTTAGGCAGTTCAACCACCTGAAATCCAGCTCCAGAAGATCTAACATCATCTCCTGGCCTCTGAGACTAAACCCCCTACACACACACAGCAGACATGCAGACACATATACACATAAATTAAAAATTTTTTTAATTTTAGTAAATTAAATAAAATTAAAATTCTACGTCAGAGGTGGTGGTGCACATCTTTAATCCCAGCACTCAGGAGGCAGAGGCAGGTGGATCTCTAGAAATTAGAGGCCGGCCTGGTCTACAGAGTGAGTTCCAGGACAGCCAAGGCTACACAGAGACTCTGTCTCAAAAATCTAAATAAGACAAAATTCCAGCCTGGTATGGTGACCCACGGCTTTAATTCTAGTGCTAAGGAGACAGAGGCAGGCAGATCTCTGTGAGTAGGGGTCAGCCTGGTCTACAGAGCCAGTTCCAGAACACCAGGTTTGTAGAGACCCTATCTCCAAAAGAATTAAAAAAAAAAAAATGAAAACTAAAAATAAACGTAACTAAAACACATACTTTGGACAAAGCCTCCCTTTTGAAGGATGGGTATCAGGTACCTCACCTGCTCTAGATCCTCACACAATGCAATGGCACCTGGAAAGAACAATGGGTCCCAGGGGACTGAGAATCCACAGGAAGAGTAGGGAGAGGTGGACTGTGGAATTGGCCATAGGAAAAGGCAGCAAGGCAAACCTTAGGCTTATCTCGAAGTTATTTAAAAACCTAACTGGTTCTACAGGCTTTCTCTGCATACTCCAAGAGCGGAAGAGCCAAACCAGAAACCTGCTGCATCTATGTGAAACTGAGGGAGAGCAGGCAAGGTGGTTCATGACTCATCCCAGCACTTGGGAAGCTAAGGAAGGATCATGAGTTCAAGGACAAGTTGAGGTATATGATGAGATTCGGTTGGAAAAATAACGAAAAAAGCCTGACAAGATAGTGCACTCTTAAAATCCCAGGGCTCACAAGGCTGAGGTAGAACTGCTGTGAGCTCAAGGTCAGGCTGGGCTACACAGCAAGTTTCAAGCCAGCCTAGGCTCTACTAGCACATCACTAGCTCAGAACCGCAGCCAGACAGGGAGCAACTCTGCAATATCAGCGTATGGAAGGCTGAAACAGGACTATTAGAAATTCAAGGTCAACCTCAGCTACAATTATGTATACAGTGTTCTGCCTGCATATGTGCCTGCAGACCAGAAGAGGGCACCAGATCTCATTACAGATGGTTGTGAGCCACCATGTGGTTGCTGGGAATTGAACCTCTGGAAGAACAGTCAGTGCTCTTAACCACTTAGCCATCTTTCCAGCACCACTTGACTTGATGTTTTGAGACAAGGTATTCATATACAGCCCTAGATGGCCCAGAATTTGCTTTGTAGATAAGCCAGGATGGCATCAAACTTACAGCAATCCTCCTGCCTCTGCCTCCTGAGTGTCAAGATTACAGCTGTGCATACACCTGGCTATACTGTTTTATCACTCTAATTAAAATTCATTGAACTTTCACCAATTGTCATAAGTTTCTCCAAAACTTTATTCCAAGACTAGCTAGCGGTGTTTCCAGGATGGATTTTTTTTGTTTGTTTTGTTTTGTTTTTTTGTTTTTCGAGACAGGGTTTCTCTGTGTAGCTTTGTGCCTTTCCTGGAACTCGCTTTGGAGACCAGGCTGGCCTCTGAACTCACAGAGATCCGCCTGCCTCTGCCTCCCAAGTGCTGGGATTAAAGACGTGCGCCACCACCGCCCGGCTTCCAGGATGGATTTTTAATTAAAAACAGTTTGGGCTTGCTCTTCCTGCTGCCTGCCAATCCAAATGTAGAACTTTTTTTCCCCAGCACCATATCCGCCAGTGCACTGCCATGCTTCCCACCATGATGATAATGAACTAAACCTCTGAACCTGTAAGCCAGCCCCAATTAAATATTTTCCTTATAAGAAAGAAAAGGGGGGGGGGGCTGGAGAGATAGCTCAGAGGCTAAGAACATTAGCTGCTCTTCCGGAGGTCCTGAGTTCAATTCCCAGCAAACGTGTGGCTCACGACCATCTATAATGAGATCTGGTGCCCTCTTCTGGCACGTGGGCATGCATGCCGGCAGAACACTGCATGCATAATAAATAAAAATAAATCTTTAAGAAAGAAGGGAGAGAGGGAGGGAGGGAGGGAGGGAGGGAGGAAGGAAGGAAGGAAGGAAGGAAGGAAGGAAGGAAGGAAGGAAGGAAGGAAGGAAGGAAGGGGGGACACTTTGGATCAGACACAGTAGTACAGTCTGTAGTACTGGCTACTCGGGAGGCTGAAAAAGAAAGATATTGAACCCAACGATCCAAAGTCAGCATGGCCAGCAAAGGAGACCCTGTCTCTAAAACAAAACAGAGTGGCACATGCCTATAATCAAAGCACACAGGAGCATGAAGCAGGGGATCAGAATTTGAGATCAGACTACATGAAACCATATATATATGGTTATATATATGGAGTTAGGAGTTAGGAGACTTGCTGCTATTTCAGTGGACTGGAGTTTGGTTCCTAGTACATGTTAGGCAGTTCAACCACCTGAAATCCAGCTCCAGAAGATCTAACATCATCTCCTGGCCTCTGAGACTAAACCCCCTACACACACACAGCAGACATGCAGACACATATACACATAAATTAAAAATTTTTTTAATTTTAGTAAATTAAATAAAATTAAAATTCTACGTCAGAGGTGGTGGTGCACATCTTTAATCCCAGCACTCAGGAGGCAGAGGCAGGTGGATCTCTAGAAATTAGAGGCCGGCCTGGTCTACAGAGTGAGTTCCAGGACAGCCAAGGCTACACAGAGACTCTGTCTCAAAAATCTAAATAAGACAAAATTCCAGCCTGGTATGGTGACCCACGGCTTTAATTCTAGTGCTAAGGAGACAGAGGCAGGCAGATCTCTGTGAGTAGGGGTCAGCCTGGTCTACAGAGCCAGTTCCAGAACACCAGGTTTGTAGAGACCCTATCTCCAAAAGAATTAAAAAAAAAAAAATGAAAACTAAAAATAAACGTAACTAAAACACATACTTTGGACAAAGCCTCCCTTTTGAAGGATGGGTATCAGGTACCTCACCTGCTCTAGATCCTCACACAATGCAATGGCACCTGGAAAGAACAATGGGTCCCAGGGGACTGAGAATCCACAGGAAGAGTAGGGAGAGGTGGACTGTGGAATTGGCCATAGGAAAAGGCAGCAAGGCAAACCTTAGGCTTATCTCGAAGTTATTTAAAAACCTAACTGGTTCTACAGGCTTTCTCTGCATACTCCAAGAGCGGAAGAGCCAAACCAGAAACCTGCTGCATCTATGTGAAACTGAGGGAGAGCAGGC